AGCATCTTCGTACCTATAATAGTATCGTATACGAGACTTTCTAGCAAGCAGCTAAGGCGTTAGGTAAGGTGCAACCCGAAGACTACTAGGACGTCGCATTTAAGGAAGCCGCGTATACTAGGACGGCGTCGATACTCCGTTAGATATTTATAGTCCTTATTACGTAGAACTAGCTAAGTAGTAATAAGTAGTTAAGGTTTTAGGAGCGTTATTAGGATAAGTTTTATAGCGACGTTTACTTAACGCTCCGTCGCTAGGAAGAGTTCGTAGCGGACGAGGATCGCTAGAAGAAAATCCGTAGCTTCGGGCTCTAGACGATTATCGACTAGCTAAGGCGCGCCGGAGTAAACCCGTAGGAACTTACCTTACTAATGCTAGACGAATATTAGGAAGCGAAGTTTAGGGTTAATATAGCGAAGCGGCGCGAGTTAGACTATAACCGATTAGACTAGTTCGACCTATATACGTCTATATTAGAGGCTTTAAACCCTAGTTAGCGAAGGGCGTTCGTCGAGATTCGGGCTAGTATCGAGTAGAAGGCAAAGCGGTCGTTATTCCTTCGCTTCTTAAATAGGTTTAGCGGTACTAGGAAGACGTTTATATATAAGACCTTAGTTACGGCGTTTCGCGCAGAAGGGAAGATTATGCTTTATATAGCTTCTACCGGGATTGTAGCCCTACTACTACTAGGTAGTATAACGGCGCACTATCGCTTTAAGATCCCTATCGATAGTACCGAAAATTTACGGTCGATACTAAAGAAAGGCATCTTCGAAGCAGATATAATTAAAGACGCTATATTAATTATCTAGGACGAGGCGCTATCGTAGCGGCGCTTCGACTTTATAGTCGTCTACTACCTTCTATACGATCTTAAAGAGATACTTAGGGAGAAAATGCCGCCGTAGTTCGGTAGTGTCCTAGTTGTATTTAGTAGAGATTTCGCGTAGTGTTTGCTTTTTAATATAACTTCTAAGGGCGACGAGGTCGCGGCGGTAGCGGCGGCTACGTAGCTATACATTACCGCTGCGCCGTTCTAGACGGACGTTAGGGTGCTATAGTTAACGGAAAATATACAACTACGAGCGGAGTCCGAAGCGTCGGTAGCGATAAAGTACTCGCGATAGCTCCTCCGCCTAGCGTATAATCTACTATACGCTAATTGCCCGATACGCCTGCCTCCGTACTTAAAGAGGGTTCTAAACATTAACTAGCTAGTAAAGGCCGTCTACCCTTAGGAATTAATAAAGGCTTCGTACGTCGATCGAACTACGCTACGTAGGCGCGTGCTCCTTACCGTATATAACGACGTAGCGGATTAGATTAACGACTTCTATAACGGTATATTTAGGAGCGGAAAGGCGTATAAGTATTACTCTAAAGACTACGTCGATTAGGCGGCGTCTAAAGCGCTCGAATAGTCGGGAGTCGAGGAGAGTATATCTACTATAACATCCCTACTCCGGCTGCCTAGTCTACTACTAGCCCTCTTACGCTTAAAAGTCGGAACGCTAGTAACTATTATAAGAAACCTAATCCTATATAAGGGTATTTGTAACGGAACGCGTATAGTAGTAACGTCGCTCTACGACTATAATATCGCGGTATATAAGCTTAACGACGAGTATAACGACGCCGAGTACCTTATCCTATATATTAAATTAATCGAGAGTAGAAGGTATCCGTAGGCGATCTCTAGGCGCTAATTTCTGTTAAAGGTATGCTACGCGATAACGATTAATAAAGCGTAGGGTTAAACTCTCGATAATATCGGTATAGACCTTCGGGCGTTACCCTTCTCGTATAGATAGCTATACGTAGCGATGTCGCGCGTAATAGATATTCGAAACCTGTTCGTACTAGTAGATAAGGAGTAGTACCGTTCGATAGACCCGTAGTATAAAGGCAGTCGTTACGTAGCGGCGTAAGAGTACGGACCTATTAGGAAGAATAATAAAAGCGAAGACGTATACGGCGACGACTACTAGTTTAGCATTCTAGATCTAGTACTAACTAATCGCCTCTTCTACGAGACATATAACGTCCGTTAGCCCGGTATTAGCATTGCGGTTCCGGCGGAGTTAGCCGTAATCGTAAATCGCATTCTAGACGAAGAGCGAATTTTTACTAGCCTCAGTTTATAAGAGAGCGGTATTAATCCGCTACTCGAAGTTATATAGTACGGGTAGGGATATATCGGCGAAGATATAGATAGCGTAGATAGTAGCGATACGTCTAAGGATATAAGTTAAAGACTGTTACTATAAAATATATAGGTAGTCTTAGAAAATAGAATAGTTAATCGTACGTAATTATATAGGGAGGAGATTACTTACTTACTCGCGGTATAAATTACCTTTTACTACCGACGTTAGATTTCTATCTTCGCTCCTCCTTCTTCTCCGTACTCTACGTACTATATCTAAATCCTACTCCGCGGCGTCGCTACTATCTTCAATCGACGGCGTAGACTATCCCGGAAATCCTAGGATTCTACCTAGCTTACGATTTACGCTAATCGAGGGTTACGATTACTCGAAAGCGTTCGCCTAAGCTGTTTTAAACGCGTACGAAAGTAGCGAGATCCGGGGTTTATAAGACGTATATAGCGCGTACGCTTAGCGAGTGCTCGCGGAAGAAGGGCGAGATATAATATTTCGGACTAAATATATCGCGTCGCTTAGGGGAAACACTTAGAACAGCGCCGATATTCGAGTATAGAGAGGCGCTTTTATCTATATTCTTAGGATAGACGCGGACTAGTATACTATCGGCGGCTATATATAGTAGACGGATTGCAACTACTATATATATAGCGGGCATTTCGTAGGCTATAGACATAGCTATACTATTACGAAGAACGGGAACTATACAAATTGCGTAGCGTTATACAAACCGAAGCGGTACTCGTACTACTAGGCGCAATCTAGAGAAAGTAAGCCTATAGCAGACTATTCTAACTTATAGTTGCTATACTAATATATATAGGATCTCCGATATATAGGAAACGGTAGAGATCGGATAGCGAGGAGCGTAAGGGGATAGCAGGGCAGTAGCAAGGAAATAATTCTATTATTCTTAACCCGAAATGCCCTATTCCTATCGAGAATAAGCTCCCTACGCTCGGTCTATTCGTGCGGGATATTATTCCCGCGTCTTAAGATAGCTACAATTCTAAAGAAATCTTTAGATCTATTCGGAAACGGCTTATCGACCTTTACGACTACGTCCTCGATATAGAAATCTATTAGGCGTGCTAGTATACGGGACTGCTACTCGAAGAGATACGTAATAGGAGGCGTAAGACTACGGCGATAGCACTATTAAGGATCTTAGCGGTCGAGAATTTCGACGTATAAAATAACTAAGATCGAAAGGTCGTATAAGCACTATTTAAAGATCTTAACTATATACTCTATAAGCGGAATACTAATAGCGTATACCGAACTATTAGCGCTAATAAAGCGTTAAACGGTCGGTAGAGATCCTACGAAGAACTATAGAGCTATAATAGAGGAGTACGACAAACGCGTAGGTAGGAATAAATTTCTCTATTCGGGAGGAGGGCGATATACGACTCTAGAGCGCGATTTCGAAAGGCTTAGATAGCGTCGTAAATAAGGCAAGTCGCAGTATAGAATATCTCTAAAGAGGGGTTGCGAAAACAATAATAGGCTTATAGAGTAGTAGTAGGGAGGCGAAGAGATTCTTATAAAAGTAATAGAGTAAGTATATAGGAGGAGAGAGATAGTAAAGTTAAGAAGACTTGAATTTTTATATATATTTCTTAGGCTAGCTCGATGCTACCTACTCTATTTTAGCTCTCTAGTCGCTACCTTAGATACTTAGTAGGTAGCAACAATAGCTGCTTCTAGTATATATATCGCGGATTAGCGACGAGGTCGGCGTTAATAAAGGAGTAGCGGAGGACGCGTTACTAATAGTCCTCGATCTACGCGAGGTTAAGATATAGCATATCGTAGGCGCGTAGCTATTTAGCGATAATAAGCTGCCGACGAGTCTGTTAGTTAGCTAGACCGTAGCCGGGAGTATAGATACTAGTACCTAAGAGGCCGGTCGAGTATAGAGGCAACTAACGGAGAGAGTTAGTAAAGAAGTCGTAGGAGATAATGCCTATAAAGTCGTATCGAATAGCAGGGTTCTAGTAGCCGGGCTAGTAAGTAACGAGGTTCGGGATGTTTTAGTATAAGGCACGGACGTTATTATATATAATATCGACTTTGTTCGTATTACGTAATTTACGTAGTCGAGCCGTAACGTAGAAGTTAACTAGGACTAGTAACAGTTAGCGGACTTTGTTTCTAAAGCGTTAAGCGCTACTAGATATACCTACCCTAGTTCTATAAGCCGGGAACCTATACGAAGGCAATAAACTTAGCGATACAGATAAAATATAGGAGGCTACGTAGGTACTAGACGCTATTAATAACGTCGATAACGGGACCGTTCGCGCTAGAGAAAGTTATATCGTCGGAGCCTAGGGTAATAGGAGATAGGACGTAAGGAGAGCCCGAGCCCTAGCGAGAGCCGCTAGGAGTTCTAAGGTCGATTATAGCGCTACGTAAAGGGGAGATAACCGATATATTAACTACGAGAGGTTAGCGCTAAATGTGCGTTATAGGCGTTATCGCTTACCGTTAATTAGTAACACGTTCTACTATAGCGTTACTCGTAGGAGTATTAATTAAGAAGGGTATATAGAGGTAGAGGTAGTACTATATAGCGTTATTAAAGGCGTAGACGTAGTAGAAGGTTTAATAGTTATTAGCCGATATTAGTCGAATTTTAAGCGATTAGAGCTTAGCGCGCGTAGCGTAACCGGCCTAGCCCGCTATAATAGGAAATTCGCACCCGCGTAACTTATACGAAGTAAGGGCCGGCACGCCCGGATTTAATAGTAATAGCCGCGGCGCCTAGAAGTTATAATAATGTAAGGCCCGCCGTCCGCGTCTGCGACGCGGACTAGGGACTAGTTGATTATGCCAAAAGTTCTAATAACCCCGGGTAAGCAAGATTGATTAATATAACAGGAATTCGTCCTGACTGTACTATAGTTCGAATCCGGGCGCGACCTGCCTTTTTGCCATGTTTCAACCATCGATAAAGTTATTATATTTTTTTGGCCAGATTCCTGTCGAGAGTATCAATTATTCACCCAGCTTGCCCTCGTTCGGCTTTTGCATGTGCCAGAATGATAGCCAATAGCATTCGACGTCGTGGTCCTAGGGGTTTTCTTGAGTCGCACGACCTCGTGTCATCCATTGTACCACCACACAACCATGTCGAAGATCAGCTTGGCGAGGGCTAGTGGAAGAAGTAGAAGCGGAGTTGACCAACTTCAGCTTCGGTTTGCTGTAAACAACAGCATCTTTCTGTGAGAAGATGCTTCACACAGGACTCTTATGGGCGTCGATCGCCTCAATCAGCCTTTTATTCTCTGGCAGTGCAGCCACCTGCACCGGTGTCAATGCTATCAGGCCCGGCTGTGCCTCCAACGAGAGTGCATATCATCGGGACACATTCTACATTGGCGGGCACTACGAGGTCTACAACAGCACGGAAGGAACAAGCATATACTCTGACCAGATATATGTGGAGAAGCTTACATCAGTGCACGGATCGAAAAAAGCAACTCCAATTGTCTTTTTGTCCGCTGGCATTCCTTCCGGTTCCGTATGCTTGCCCAATCCCTCTCCTCTCCACGTCACAATTCAGTGCTGACGGCCAAACAGCTATGGTTGAACACGCCTGACAACCGCAAAGGTTGGGCATCATACTTCCTCGATCAAGGCTACCAAGTCTACATCCTCGACATCACCGCAAACGGCCGTAGCGGCCAGAACGACTTAGAAAAATACCCGCTGCGAATCGGCACCACAGACTCCAACATGCAAGCAGGATTCACCGCACCAGAAATCTACGCCGCCTACCCCCAAGCCATCAACCACACCCAATGGCCCGGCAACGGAACCCGCGGCGACCCAATCTTCGACGCCTTCATGGCATCCGTCGTCCCCCTAACCACCAATTCCACAAGCCAAGAACTCTCCATGCGAGCCGCCGGCTGCAAACTTCTATCCTTGATCGGAAAATCCTATCTCATCTCCCACTCCGCAGCCGGGACCTACACAGTCCTGATGTCCGACGAATGTCCCGAGCTAGTTAAAGCCAACATCAATCTCGAACCGGGCAATATTCCCTTCCAATGGTGGTCTGGGAACTCTTCCGCTGCTGGAGACAGATACGTGACAAGAGAATACGGTTTAACCCGTACACCCATCACCTACTCCCCTCCCATCACTTCCTCCTCCGACCTGAATAAAATCCTCATCGGTGAAGATTCCCCCGCTCAAAGATCCTGCTATATCCAGAATCCCAACGCTACAATACATACCCTCCCAAATATCGCCCAAGTTCCTTATGTCTTTTTGACAGCCGATGCGAGTCCGCATGTTACATACGATCATTGCTTTTCGTTGTTTTTGCAGCAGGCTGGAGTCAAGGATGTTACGTGGATTAAACTTTGGGAGAAAGGGATTTTTGGAAATGCGCACTTTTTTATGGTGGAGAGGAATAATTTGGAGATTGCGGCGGTTGTGGAGAGATGGATCGGGGAGTTTGAAAGAAGGAAGAAGAAGTGAAGGGGTTTGGGTGAGGTGGTTGTTTGGGGTCGTGGCTATGATTTCGGCCTAGTCATGTGATCTGTTGATATTCACGATTGCTCCTTCCTAGAATTATGCTGTGCCTCTTAATAGGCGTCCTTGTAACAGTGTCAAGCTTGCTGGCAGATGATTGCAAAATCCGGCGCCACCACGATCCGTGTGACCTTCAATGCGTCGCAGGTTGGGCACAGAACCCTTCAATATCCTTCGTAACCTATTTCCAACATCCGCGTGAGGAACGCACAACATTAGTAACGACTAGCTCACTTACCTCCAACTCATAACCCACCTTCACCACCGTATCAAGATGCTTCAGCCGTCTATCCACTTCCGCGCCGCCTCGTATGAAGCTTAAGATGAGTCTGTCCTCAAGATCGTTCATACAGTCCTCGACGAAGTCCGCAAGGGAGGAAAGCATCCCAGCGCCTCCACCATGCTCTCCACGCCTAGATACGCATCGACTATCTTTAATCATCTGAAATGTCTCGATAGGGATGCATTTCGACCAGTCTAGGCATGTCTTGACGCCGTAAACGATGAAGGTGGTGTTTCAGTAGTAGGATTGCGTGAAGAGAGCACGTGATGCGCGATCGATCTTGAGCAGGTGAACTTGTGACTTTGCTACCACACGAGACTTGTCAACTTGGTATGGAGTGATGACCTGAGCCGGGTGTGGCAGTGAAGGTGTCTTTGTAGATCTTTTCGTATAATTCTTGGGGTAGAGATTCAAGGAGGGTGCGTAAGTCGTCTGCGTTTCCGACCATAATGAGTGTGTCGTCGTCGTTGTGGGAAGATGATGGAAGTTGAGGGTAAGGAGGCGCCGATCCAGGTTGGCGAATGCGTGCATGTGTGTGTCAAACGGTGCTGTGGGGACAGCTGTAGGGATGAGCTCGCTAGTTCTAACGTTCGGATAGCTGCTTGCATCAAAATATTCCCTCACATTGGCGGTTGTTGGAGATTCTTATGTGGAATAGTTCACGGGAATGCTGCGATACCTGAAACATCGCGTCTTGACATCAATTGAGCTGGTACTTTCGTCTGCGTGCTGTCCTTCACGAGGTCATGACAACATCGAAACCTAGGCCTCTCCCATTGCCGTTCGTACATGCACAGACTTTTATGTTACGCGGCGATATTGAACGAGAAACGTCTTCTGCTTCAAAGCCCATCAGTCCGCATCGGAATCGGCATCGGCATCTTCTTTACTGGGACGAAGTTGCGCGAGGTCCTTAGTCAACTGATCATCAATCAGCCGATTGCTCCATATGAGGGAGAATCCGAGACTTACTGAGTGCTCCCAACCAGACTTCACTTTGGCAGCGACTTCAATACCCATACCTCTCTTCCATAGTGGTGCGCGCTCAGGAGCGATGTGACCGTCATTTAACCGCTTCTTCGCCCACGCGCACATGATGCGATCCCACTGCGGCTCAACGACTATATTCAAGGCATGCAGGGGCCGTCCTTGCACAAGGCCTCTCAAAATTCCACATCCTTCGCAGTGACCCTCCCGGCGTCCTTCTGCGCCTCTTGATCTCCCTCTAAAGGTGGCAAGGAGAAGGGCTTAATGACGAACTTCCGTCTGCTAACCGTGAACGCTAGATCTTCGCCTATGCTGTTTCCAGCACCTGCTCCTCCCTCACCGCGCTCAGAGTTGACCGGAAGCTTATGAAATCGTACCAGACCTTGCGGCTGCTCCTCATTCCCGCGTGCGCCGCCGCTTTCTGCTAGGCTGTTTGAAGCATCCATGAGGTGTGGGAATGGTGTGAGCTCAATGACACCATCGCTGAGAATCTCTGCCCACCGAACCATACCAGATGCTCTCGGATAAAGTTCCAGAGGCAATGTGACCATCGCAGTCAATCTGCTTGGGAACTGTCGAAGTAGAGACCGCAAAGCCCGGAAGAAGCCAAGAAGTGCTTCTGGCCTGCTCAAAGTCGGCGGATACATGGCTGGGCTCAGGATAGATGGGACTACCAGCCGATGGATCGCTGCATCCGGCGAAGTATTGAGATTGCGCAGGACAGACTGGATAATCACATCGAAAGTGAAAGAAGGAGATATTGGAATGTGATTGACTCTTGCGTCTGCCAGTGTTGCAAGACGCTTGCTCAGGTCAAATGTGTGATTGAAAGGAATCTCTGACGTAGCAGAACTGCTTGGTGATGGTGTGATTGTTCGATCCGGAAGAGCTGTACCTACCATCAGCTCGAACACTCACCTCATGCCGCTACAACCTACGCACCTCTTTCCCCAGCTTGGCCAAATCGCTCGTATCTCCAAGCAATTTTCATCTTCTCTTCGTCGGCTGCTGATCTGGCAAGGTTGTCCTTGCTCTTCTCTTCCGCCTTGCCGGGTAATTCCCGCACCCAACCTTCACCCAGGCCAACAACATGCAGGACGTGGCCCTGGCATATGCCCTCAGCCGCATAGTACTTGAGAAGTGCTCCTGCGAAGTCTGTGGTTCCGCTTTCTTCGATCAGGAGGCTGTTCCCTAGCGCAAGGCCAGAGTGACCACCAAGCAAACCATCTAGCGATGCAGTGCCAGTAGAAGTGACCGAATGCGATGTCAGAGGCGACGGGCGCACTCCAGGAACATTGGCCGCAGGTGATTCGGTTGATGTAGAGTTCGGCGAACGGCCGATTGAGATGTTGCGCTTTCTGAACGCCATCTGCTCATGAGACACACGCTGCGATGTCTGGGCAGAATGTTGAAGAGCATGCCTGCTGTGCTGTGAAAGAGAAGTGGAGTCTGTCCTTGCAAGCTCTCGCCAATCGGACTCGTAGCCGAGAAGCGCGTCGCGTCCATACAACTTCCTCCCTCCCACTTCCATCACCATCACCATCACCATCACCATCACCATCACCATCTATATCAACACCGCATCGATGTGAGATGGACCCGCCAATGACCTCGTCGCCGCCGCGCGGCACAAAGCGAAAAGCGGATGAGTTGCAAGCACCTCGCCGCATAAGGGCTCTTGAGCAGGATGTGGTGAACAAGATCGCTGCGGGAGAAATCATTGTTGCACCGGTGCATGCCCTGAAAGAGTTGATCGAGAATGCAGTGGATGCCGGCTCGACAAGCCTGGAGATTCTCGTCAAAGAAGGGGGCCTCAAACTCTTGCAGATCACCGATAATGGCTGCGGCATAAGCAAGGACGACATGCCAATCCTGTGCGAGCGCTTCACCACATCAAAGCTCAAGGCTTTTGAAGACCTGCAGGCCATTGGCACGTATGGATTCCGAGGCGAAGCGCTCGCCAGCATCAGTCACATAGCACATCTATCGGTCACGACCAAGACAGCAGATTCTAGTTGTGCCTGGAAAGCTCACTATGCTGGTGGCAAACTGACACCTGCAAAGCCCGGCCAATCTGCTGATCCCAAGGCTTGTGCGGGACGGCAAGGCACGCAGATTGCTGTTGAGGATCTCTTCTACAATGTGCCGACCCGGCGACGCGCTTTCCGTTCTGCCAGCGAGGAGTATGCAAAGATTGCCGAGCTGGTGGGCAAGTACTCAGTTCATTGTCAAGGTGTTGCATTCTCGTGCAAGAAGCATGGTGAAGCCGGTCTTGGTATTGCTGTACCTGCCAACGCCTCAATCCGTGATCGCATCCGTCTCACCCACAGCACAACTGTCGCAAATGAGCTCATCGAATTCCAGATCTCCAATGAACCGTATGGGTTCACTGCAAAGGGTCTTGTCAGCAACGCCAATTATGGTGGCAAGCGAACTACACTCCTACTCTTCATCAACCACAGATCTGTCGAATCGTCAGCGATCAAGAAAGCATTGGAGCAGACGTATTCTGTCTTCCTTCCGAAAGGCAGCAAGCCTTTCGTCTATCTTAGCCTAGAGATCGATGCCGCACGTGTCGATGTCAATGTGCACCCAACAAAGCGAGAAGTCAACTTCCTGAACGAAGAGGAAATCGTCGAGCTCGTCTGCGAGGAAGTCCGCACGAGGCTTGGAAAGGTCGATACAAGCAGGACCTTTATGACGCAGAGTCTGCTGAGCGGCGCGAGGACACCTAGCATATCCAAAGCGAATACACTCCCTGAAACTCCGTCGACTTCGACTGCTGGCGAAAAGCGACCTCCGACGTCTCATCAGACTGCATCGAAAAAGCCGTACGAGAACAACCTCGTGAGGACGGACGCGAAGACGAGGAAAATTACAGCCATGCTTCCATCAGCACAGCGAGCGTCGTCTCCGTCCCGCGAACATGCCTCGAATGGAATGGAATACGAGTATACGGACAAGGAGCCTACGATATGCCGTCTGACCACCATCAAAGAGTTGAGAGCCTCGGTGAGAGAGAACATGCATAATGAGCTTACAGACACATTTGCCAACCATACCTTTGTCGGTATAGCAGACGAGTGCAAGCGCATCGCCGCTATTCAGGGCGGGGTGCGTCTCTTCCTCGTGGACTATGGAATGGTTGCCGCGGAATATTTTTACCAGCTTGGCCTGACAGACTTCGGCAATTTTGGGTCGATCCGGTTAAACCCTCCATTGGCCTTGCATGACCTGCTCCAGATTGCAGTCCAACACGCGAAAACGTTAGAGCCGCAAAACGTGGAATTCGACTGGGACAACGTTGTATCGGCCGTGGCCAACCAGCTCATGTCTCGTAAAGACATGCTTCTGGAATACTTCTCGATGGAAATTACTGCAGATGGCGACCTCCTAACCATTCCGCTCCTGATCAAGGGCTACGCACCATCGATGGCCAAACTTCCCAACTTCCTGCTGAGGCTAGGACCACATGTTGACTGGACAGACGAGAAAGGCTGCTTCCAGAGCTTTCTTCGCGAGCTAGCAAGCTTCTATGCGCCAGAGTCATTGCCACCTGCCCCCGAAGATGGAGAGTCGGAGGATGAAGATATCGCAGAGAGACGACGACAAGTCCATCGAGCAGTTGAGAACGTCTTGTTCCCGGCGTTCAAGGCCAGGCTGGTGGCTACAAAATGCCTGCTTAAGGGCACTATCGAAGTTGCCAACCTCAAAGGCCTTTACCGCGTGTTCGAGCGATGCTAGGACACCGCGTATTCCTGCTCTGCTGCGACCATCTAAAGCACGGGCACGAAGCCACGCTTCAGCGCGAGACTTTCACGCCTTTCAACGTGAGCTGGCTGCATGACTTCGCTTTGCTGGACCCGCTATTGCGAAGTTTGTCGGCCAATCCTGTTGGGTGTTTTGTAAGATCCAAACATCAATAGTGCACCTCCAATGATATGTCGCAGTGTGTACCGACATATTCGCCTATCGACTGCAGTAGTCACACACTCCTCCTGCCCGATGCGTTAATGCGCCATGAGCCAAAGATCTGCCTCTACAGTAAGTGCCTCGGTGATGTTTAGGAGCTTTATTCGCTGGACCTGCAGGCACCCCATGTCTTCCCCTCAGCCGCAAGGACACGCGCCGTTCCTTCCAATTCCATTTCACGCCATCATCAAGCATCACCGCTCACCGGACAGGATCTCGAGCGATTGAAAATAAGCCATGAGTGGCAGAGGATTTGAACGCCTTGTCGCATTCACAACGGAGCCCTAGCAGTCGCGGCGAAGCTTCCGCTTTCTTGAGAATTGCTTGGACAAACTGCATTTTACTTCCCAGATTTTGGCCATATGGAATACCTCGATCCGTGAAAGTTGCTCACTTGACCATTGCGGTATGTATCCTCTGACGTATTTTCTACCTGAAACTCAGGGCACGAAGAGAACAGCAGCTCTGGCCTACGGAAAGCTGTGACCCCCAAATTATGATGAATGTAACGCTCAGTAGTGTTGCCTACTTTTCGACGGTCTGCGCCACGAGAGTCCCTTCCCCGAAAGCGAAATAGAGTATAGAGAAGAGAATCATACAGGTAACGCGTGTGAGGCATAAGTCGTAGTAGGTGATGTCTGTGGCTAAGTCTATTTACACAGGTGGCGACAGGTGAACCCTGACAGGTAACACCTGTGACAGGTGGCACCTGCCATCTCTAGTATGGTAGTCAACTCCACTACATTGTTGGGGTGCCGGCGTAAAACCTGCAGCCTCCGCTCAAACCTGCCCCAGGTGAAAACCAGCATCGAAAATCCATATTCTCGAACGCCGCTGAGCACTCCTAGCGACTAAAAACTGCGGAGCCCCAGTGGCGTTCGAGCGTCACCTGGTCAGCTAAGTCCGAGGCGTGCTGTATGGTGGAATCCTAATTCAAGCTTAAACGACGATCACAGCCACATCCAGCACTTCATCTACCTGCCGAGGCCTGTATGCACGGTTAAGCACGCCGTTTACAATGATGGCTGCGCTACGGGAACGAGGCAAGCCTCTGACGGCCAATGATGCGCCCCGTATTATACTGTACACTCCTGACTATGTTGCATCGAGCGAATTGCAGGAAACGCCCTTGGGTCATACTCCGACTCGGACAGCGTACGAGGCGTCGAGTGCCTTATGCGGAGATGGGCAGTCGTAGGGCAACTTCTGGCTAGAGGCATCTCCCTCGGAGGCAAACATTTATTCATCAGATTTGAGAAATCACTATATATGTCTGTAGATCAGCACTTCACATCGCTCTCCACGTTCAAGTCAACAACCCAAATCACAGCGACTCAAACACCATCAACATGAAGACCTTCGTCGTCGCATCCCTCCTCGCGGGGGCTTCTGCCTTCCCATTCGTCATGGACATGCCTGGCGTTGACTCTCGCATGATCCAGGCTGAGCGTCGCCGCATTCGACGACAGCAAAACGGCTCTGGTCCAGGAAGTGCAGCACAATGCCCATTCAACGCAGACCACAAGCCAGCCAACCCAGTGACCTCGCAATACCCATACAACAACGCCAAGAACGGTGTCAAGGGTAACGAGAAGGGTGGCTATCAAGTTCCAGCTCCAGGTGACACTGCCCATCAGTTTGTCGCCCCAGACTACTCGAAGGACATCCGTGGACCTTGCCCAGGTCTCAACGTCGCCGCCAACCACAACTTCTTGGCTCACGACGGTATCGTCACGTACAACGAGCTCGTTGACGCTCAGCAGAACGTTTACAACGTTGGCTACGACTTGGCCAACCTTTTGGCTCTTCTCGGTCTCACCTTGACCGACGGTGATCTTGTCACCGAGAAGCTTTCCATCGGCTGTGATGCTACCACAAGGACATCTGTCAACCCAGCCCTGACCGGTAGCGAGCCAGGCCTTGACGGCCACAACAAGTTCGAGGCTGACAGCTCGCTCACCCGTAACGACTTCTTCACTGGACAGGGTGACAACTTCAATTTCAACGGCACCCTCTTCGGCCAGATGACCCAAACTACCGGCGGCAACTACGACCTGCAGGGTCTTGCCCAGTACCGATATGACCGCTACCAGGACTCTCTCAAGAACAACCCCAACTTCTACTTCGGCCCACTCAGCTTGCTGCTGTTCGGTGCCGCATCTTTCCTTTACGAGCTCATGCCATCTGGCACCAACGGGTACAAACCAGACTACGCTACCATCTCTTCCTTCTTCGGTGCCACCAAGAACTCCGACGGAACCTACTCTTTCAACGGCAAGGAGCAGCTCCCACCAAACTGGACCAACCGTGTCGACCCATACGACAACAACAAGGTTACGCAGGAGATCTTGAAAATGTACCTCCTCAAGCCAGTTCTCTTCGGAGGCAACACCGCCGACGGCCATTTCGACGCAATCAGCTTCGGTGCTATCCAGAATGGTTCTATCCCAGTCGACATTGACGCCAAGACCACATCTTGCCTGCTCTATTCGCTCGCTACTCAGTCCGTCCCATCTTATCTCAACGGTGTCATTACCCCAAGCGTCGATGCTCTGGCTTTTGTCCTCACCAAGCTAAGCGGCACCGACTTCGCCAACCTTGGCTGCCCACGACCACTCACCAAGTAAATTTTTTGCGACAAATTAAAACTGAGACGTGGATGATTTAACGGCGGCAGAAGGAGGAGTCATGCAGAGTGTTTATTGGGAGGATCAAAAAGCTGGAAGGACAGTACTGCATGAGCGTTAGCGATCTCTTACCTGTATAGTGTATAGCGCACTCCATGAGAAGATCATCAATGACTCGCTTCAAATTTCCTGTTCCTACTAACTTCTCGCGAGCTTTGCTTCACGATACGACAAGTACGTATTGATGTAGTGTAGTTGGAACAAGATTGTTGCGACCATGTGTTGCAGCTGCAGCTGCTGTGGTCGATCAGGTACAGCACGTTTTGCGATCTTCGACACGGCACGGTACTGTAAAGATGAACTATGGCAAATGCATAGAAAGTATGGCTTGCAGCTCAGTGCGGTCGCTCTGGTTGTGTGCCGTGTGAAGACATGACATGGAGAAATTCTCCTTACAGTACAGTAGTTCTAGCCTCAGGCATCACGGCTACTCCCGCCACATGCTTCTTCACATGCATTCAAGCATTCTTTATGCGCGCATCACGACTTCAACCTCAACCTCAAACCACCTGCACCCACCCACACTCAATATTGACCTCCCACCCACACCGCAAAAATGGCCGACGCCCAACTCTACGAAGAAACCTTCCAATGCACCACCCTCATCACAGAAACCTACGACCGCGTCCACCGAGTTTTGGGGACATCGCACGACAACACCACCTCGATAACGCTGGACATCAACTCGGAACTCTACCCCATCGGAACCCAAGACTCTTTCAACATGTTGATCGCCAGCACGTTGAATTTAGACGGAACGAAAGAAGAAGCGGCGACGGGGTGGAGACCGAGGAATACCGAGCCGAGTTTGGCGGATATGTGGGATTATGTTTGTTATGGGAAGGTTTATAAGGTTGAGGATCCGGAGGATGGGGATCGGATGTGAGTTGACATGAAATGCGGGTTGAGAGGGTTTGAGTGGACGCTGACTGTTTGGTGTTAGTAAGGTGTATGTGTCGTTTGGGGGATTGCTGCTTTGTCTTGATGGGCCGTATAAGAAGCTTAGTCCGCTGAAGATTGAGTATGTGTATATGCTGCTCAAGAAGTAGGCGGCGCGCTGGATATGGGTTTGAAACGATCACCTCGGAGCGCGCGCTTGAGGTGGGAGGAATTCGAGGCTGGCATTTGCGCAGAACCAGAAAAAGTCGATTAGCGAGGCGTTGTGGGACAAGCGAGATACAGCATGATCACAGGCGCGGCAGAGAAGAGCCGCGTTATGGGTATCACAACATACACGCATCTACAGGAGGGATGCTAGCTTTTCTACAGCTCAGGCCAAGGCGCAACTTCTTGCGTGCCGGAATGGTCGCATGCGCGTGCCATACAAATCGAAGAACGGCGCTCACGGCGTAGGGAAGTCCAGCTTCCGATGCAGTCTCGCGACGATCTCGATATAGTTCTCATCCTCGTGGGTCACATACCCATGCCTGATGAAGAAATCAAGCAATACCAGCGCGCAGTTCGGCTTGAACTCACCGTTCCGCATTGCAGCTTTCACCTCTTCCACTGTCATCAGCTGGAAGCTCTCCACCTCGTCATCCGATGGCTTCGGCGTCACGTCTGGCGAAAGCTCCAGATCATAGACATACTGACACTCTGGCTGCAGTAGCCTCGTCTCACCACCCGCTCTCTCATCGCGGATATGGAAATATGTCACTGTACCAGCGGCTTTTGCCCCCTTCCGCACAATCTCCTCTGGCAGACTTGCTTCCTCTGCAGATTCTCTGACCAAGCTCTCGAATGGACTCTCTCCCGTCGCAATACCACCCGCAACAGTGTTGTCCAGCATGCCAGGATACGTGCTCTTGCTTGCGGCCCTCTTTGGCACCCAGATCCTCATTTGCTGCTCTTTTGCCTCGTTCCCCTTGATGTACGCCGTCATATGGCAGCCGTACGTCACGATTCCGAACAACGCGCTCGCAGATCTCTCCATGCTGAACAATAGCTGCCCTTTCGGCCCATAGACAGGATACAGCTCATCCCGCCATTTTGATAGCACTTTGAAGTGACCTGTCGCATACATAGCACGTATCGTGGCACCCACAACTTTGCTCCGTTCCTGCTCTGTCGAGCCCGTGACCAACGTCAGACTTCGATCTTCATCGTTGATCTTCCAGTCCGGCAGACCTCTAAACACCTCTGTCACGCTTGGGAGTAGGTAACCGAGCTCTACCTCGGGGTGGTCTTTGACGTATAAGGCATAGTAGGTATTGACGTGTGCAAAGAAAAGCTTGGGATCGGTTTGGTAGTAGGGAAAGTTGTCGCATTCAGCGATGAGGTCGAGATTGCTCTTGGGGCCGGAGCTGATTGGGTCTGGTTCTGCCAGTATCATTGAGACTGGCACTTGTGTTTCTTGAGCGTCGGGATCTGCCGAATCGCCGGTTCGCGCGGTGCCTGGTCGGGATTCGTCGTCTTCTTCGTGAGCTGATGACCAGGAGGGGATGCTGGGGAGCTCTTTCGGTATGAAGTCTTTGAGGCGATTGAGGTTGAACGCCATGGCGGGTTCTTCAAACTCGTTTGCAGATCAACGTGTATATCAACCTGTGCCCGATGTCATTGGGAGCTGACCTTCCCCGTGAGATCTGAGAGGAGGTGGTTGGTCTTGGCTTGAGCGTCAGAGCGAGAGCTGAAGATGCAGGGTCCAGCCTTGTCAAGGTGGATGAACTTCGGCTGTGTTCGAACCTTCTCCTCGCATCGAGTTCTTCCGAGACACTTCACTTCAAACGCAGATGAGGATCAGAAGAGGGCTCTTGCGCTGTGTGCAGGTCAAATAGCGTTCAATCGGCAAGTCGAGACTCCTTTCTTCCCTCTTCAGTACCCTCGACACGCAGAACATCAGCAGCATGTTTGGCCTCATCATCTCCGGTCGACCTGTTGACGCACAGCCTCAAGCAATAACAGAAGCCCAATATGCCTTCAAGATCCCACCGGCACCAGCTTTCAGCCATATAGTCGTATTTCTACTGCCTGGACTCATTCTCCCAGAGGGCACTGCAGCTACGGTATACGTTCAAATCCCTCCATCTCAAGAGTTCAAGCTTTTGGGTGGCATCGGACCTGGGAAAGAAAGCGCAATCTTTAAAGTATCTGGTCCGAGGTCTGGGAATCTAGACGAGAACGCCATGATCGACGACCCGACCGCGCAAGCCGCTGGGAATGCTGCAGGTGGAGAAATCGTGGTTGGTGTCTCTATCGAGCCCATTCCACAAGTCGAGGCTCAGCTTGCAACGTTGAAAAGTGGTGGCCAGCCCGCAGGCGCAGCGAATGTTTCCACGGCCATGGTACGCGTGGCCAACACGCCTCCTGCAACAGTCGCCACGAAAGTCCTTGCGCAGCGCATTATTGGGAACGCCTTCAATTTTCTCGCCAGTTTTGGAAGCGACACTATTCCTCTCAAAGCTTTCCAAGCTTGGTGGGAGAAATTCGAGAAGAAAGTAGAGCTTGATCCGAGCTTTTTGGAGAGGGAGGACTAGTGAGCGGATTGAGCATGAATGAAATTAATGCTTGGTGATCACTTCGAAAACCATGGCCTCTGTCGACCGGCGAAGGAATTCATGGCATGGCAGGCAGATATGCTGCTCCGATGATCGACAATCTTGTAGTCCACATCGCAGCGCAAATTGCGACCTGGCCGTGGACCGATAGTCGCATCCTCACGCCGTGGCTATCGGGTATCAATCGGCGATGCAGGATAGACAGAAACCGAGACCACAGAGGTACGAAGCTGGTCATACGGCGTATGACTATGGATGATGTTCCCAGTAAGCGACGATATCTCTGACTGTGAGCCGGCCGGGCCGTCTGCAGTGGTCGCTGGTCGCAAAATGGTCGCCGCGTGCCGATACGAGAGTTCTCCCAATAGTCACCGGATAATTGGCACTCCAACGAGGCACCCCTCTCCTAGACCAAGTCATTGACTCAGGATAGATGAGAGATGAGACGCAACAGTCCCACGCCGTGAACTGAGTCGGTGGTGGATGTCGAGAAGAAGAGAAACATGGTCGAGAGATGGTGTTTTTGTCTTGCTCATTCGGATCACGCGCCGGTAGAAGAGCCGACTTGCATGTGCTCTCACCAAAGCCGAATCCCGAGTCTAGCCGTACAAATATGGACATGTGAATTGGTCAGGAGCTCAGAATCGGCAGCTTCCAATAGACGCGTGCGTCGAGGGCACATGCAGCCAACACAAGATCTGAACAGACCTTGTGACAAGGATAAACCGGGATGACCACAGCTTCGCGATACTTCGCGGCACCAACAATATAAGCAATGGAGGAAAGTACCAGGTGTCCAAACTCCGTTCGTATGCAGAGGTAAAGGCACTTATTCGAGTCCTGTCCATTACTGCTGTGCTTTATCTATCCATAGATCCGGATGAACACCTATAACTACCATAAATAGCCGTCACCTAATCTTAGACTTTTATAGCCCTACTATGCAACCTACACTGCCTCTTCCAGGTTATTAGCAACTGCTCTATCCGAGCTAATCAGAATCAATCTAGTCTAGCCTAGCTATAATCATAATTCACAACTTCCTCAATAATACAAAGACGTTTTACCTACTACATTTAGATAAAAAAAAAACTTCCTTCCTATTAACGACGCAAGCCTATTACTATTACCTCACCTCTCTTCCCTTTCTCTAAGAATGGGTATCGTACCAAACATCTTACATCCTCCTTCCCAGCTTCTAATTTCATTCAAAGCTACACGCCACGCCACGCCGATGTGGGTAACTCCTAGAGAACAAAGACTGTCATTAAACGGAGATTCCACTACAAGATATTCTACCCTCTCAACGTAAGAGAAACAAGTCTGAAGAAGACGATAAGAGGGAATAGTCAGATCAGATCGTTCACAATATAATAATGAAAGAAATATATATCTACCTTTTGAATTGGGACAAGGATTTTGCGAAATGTCCTTGTTTTGAGGCTGTGGGGTTGAGAAGAGAGTTCATTATATATAGGATGGCATGGAGGGCTGGATAAGTGGTGTGATTTTGGCTATATGTGGGATTCTGCGGTCGATCATCTAATGTCTCCGATCGGAGATGGACAACGTGTTAAAAATGCACGAGTCTTCTGCGAGTTCCTCGATCTTTCCCCTTTGGCTCTCAATCCACTGCCCAGGCCTCTCCTCTCGAGCGTTCATTCCCGTTTCTTCGATATCACATCGGAATCGGATTCATAGCGTCTCATTTCTTTTCTTTCTGCTCTTCGGGTTGAACAGAACTGAGAGGATGTGCTCCAGCGATATTGGTCATGATTAAATTTGTCCAATTGCGCTCGTGTGTTGGAGAGAAACGCTTGCTGCAGCATGAACTCAGGCGACTCAGTCCGGAAAATACTGTATTCCTATCCTCGCAATGACTGACGTCTCTGCTGCGTGGACAAAGGATTTTCCGCATGCCCACGGCAAGCATGTCTATTCGGAGCCTTCTCATGGTGCTAGGATACCGCTGCCAGATATGTAGCCCTGTTTCGCGGCAAAAGTCCATTACAGAAGCTGGTAACGATACCGGTCGACTTCCCAAAGACATGCATATTCGGCTAAGCTGGTGCCATTCTAAGTGGCGCTGCACTCCACGGTCGTCATCCTTGCTCTCCATTTCTCCAGCTCAAGGCCTCAGAATACCCAGTCGTGTGCCACTCATTGCCGCTCTGGCAATAATACTTCCAGACAGCCGCAGCATCAACATCTTGCCAGACTTCCCGCGCCTCAGAATCTCTCAATTGAAGCGCTTGTTGGAAGATGAGCTTCAAATCCTTGTCTTGCCGTTTTGCTGCAATGTGCCAGCCTTCGATCATGGCCATAGGTACCAAGCGCCTCGCCAGTTCTGCGCAAGTGATTGTGTAGTCTGGTTCTATTCGAGGCAAACGAGGTGGCCATTTCACAATATCCAGAAAGGCGTACACTCTGTCCCGGGTATCTGTGCATTGCCAGGAATGAAATTCGCTCAGTGCCACGAGGAGGGAGTAGCCTCGATCGGTTGCACCGCGATTTTTGTAGCGATGAAGTGTCTCGCCGCTGATGGAGCAGAGAAGCTTGGTCATCGGCAAATCATCATGCTCTGATACCGCTTTGCCGACTTGTCGGGCAATGTCCAGGAGGCCATGGTAGAAGGATTGCGGGTCGTTGACGGCGCCTAGAGAGAGTGAGTCCGATCCGCAAAGGATAGTGATGGATGTTGCCAGAGATAATTCAGGCACGATCCAGAGTCGGTTCCAATAGGCTCGCTGCTCAAATTCTTGAAAACCAAGGACGAAGCGACCATATGCTTCGTCGTCGTCAGAAGTGCTGAAGCCGAGTCGCTCCTGCAGACTGCCGCCGCGGTCGCTCGGCCACGGCCATCTAGTCGCTTGTAGGTCGTTCAGGACCTCGAATATGTACTCGCTATCGTCGCTATGATTTCCAGTACAAGCGAGAACATTCGTTGCTTTGCGATAAATGGACCCCATAATCTTCACCTGTTCGGACTTTTCTCGCAGGTCGCCTTGATTTATGCAGATGCTGTCGACCCATATATGGCCATCCAGCGGTACGAGCGGACACCGGAAGGCTTGCCAGAGCGCATAACGGCAATTGGCTGTGACATCCAGCGACTTGCCGTTGACTGTGATGCTTTGTACTCTAGTCTTGATACCCCACATGTACGATACGGCGACGAAGGGAGGTGCGACATTGGGAATGCCGGTTTTCGCGAGGTCCGCATCAAGGTCATGTGTTTCCAATTGCAGCTTAAGTTGAGTATCCGTACTCTCAGGCAAGATGCGGAACAATCTGATTTGCCTTGCTGGGTCCGTCAATGGCTCGTGATGGAATGGTTGCAACTTCGTGCGACGGCGGGCCAGTTTTCGTTTTGTCCGGATCGCTGGTGAGGTGATTGTGCGTAAGGCGTGCAAGCTCATGCGCTGCCTGGAATTCAAGGCCTCATCACTCTCGCGGTGTTGTGACATTGTCTGCTCTCATGTCGTTCGTTTGAGCGAGCGACAAGAATGCAGATGCAAGCAGATGGGGCTGAAGCTGCACCGGTGAGCTCAGCCACGCTATGTATTTTTAACGAATCCTGCCGTCCCCAGCGCGAAAATACGACTCTAGAACATTGGCAGTGCAGCTCGCTACACCACTTGGCAAACTACCAAGACAAAGTTCTTGTGTAACATGCCCGATAGGTCTGGATGAGGATACTGCCGTCCATTCGAGATGGCTATGGATACCGCTCCGCTGTAACGTAGCAACTCGCCTACTCTAAAGGTCATCGTCAATATCAATCTCATCAGCGTTTGGAACAGCACGATTCTCCTGATCCTGGTTGACCTTTGGCCGATTACCACCTTCTGGACCGCTCGAAGCTGCAACGAAGCCGGCCGGCGCTCTTGCTTGTCTTTCAAGAGCAGCCATGGCATCGACTTTCTCGCCTGACATCTCTACTTCGTCATTGTCTTCTGCAGCTCCATTTGTCTGACCACTGGCAGCTTGCTGTCTTGCCACTGCTTGTGATGCAATGAAGTTGACGTCCGTGTTGAATTGGGCCTGCACGGATCTCTTGATTCGCAGCATTTCCTTGAAAGTGTCTTCGTTGCCGTGCTGTACTTCAAACGCTTCCCATTTCCGCCAGAATTCAGCGTTAACGCGAGGATCACAGAATTGTGATGCATGGCCATAAATGGCTCGTGCGCGATCGATCTCGCCGAGCCGACGCTCCATTTCTGCGAACTTTATGCACATTGACGAAGCTTCCCTATCTGGTAAAGCAGCGATTGCGCGTTCGTATATCGATCGCGTTGACGTGAGTCCGAAGTTCGAAGCACTCTTAGTGATATAGAACTCGAACATCTCGGCGCGGTCTTCGTCCGCAACAGCACGTGTTGCGCGTTCATATATCCGCATGGCGTGTCGTGCAAGACCACGCTCCTCCTCCAGCGCGCCGTACATCAGGAAGAGTGTTTTGGCGAAGCGAGGTGGACACCCTTCAATCGCTTGCTCGAACAAGTCGCGTAATCTTTCGATGGATATCCGGTGGTCAACTGCTTTGGTGAGGTAGAGATTCCAGAGTTCAAAGGCGACAGGATACGAGAAGAGGTCGAGGCCGCGCTCGTAGACTTTGAACGATTCCTCGTAGTACTCATTCTCTTCGAGCAGGTTGGCATAGTTGACGACTGTCTGCGGCGTGGCGATGCGAAGTTCAAAGATCCGCTCATAAACCTTCTTCGTCTCTTCTAACGAGGATACAGACTCCACAAGATCGACGTAGAAAGACCATAGTTTCCAAGATTTATGCACTCTCTGCTGCGGCGAAAGCGTCTCGTCAAAGTAGTCGACGTTGCTCCTCTTTGGTGCCTTGGTCGCGGTCGCCATAATGTTGACGGCCTGGTCGAAATTCTCATTCCGAAGCTCTAGCTCCGCCCATTCGGTCCAGCATTCTGCAAGCTCCGCAACTGATTTGTATGGTACCTTGACGGCTTTCTCCATGATGATCCGCGCGTTCGTGAGATCCCCGCCAGCTTCGTAAAATTTTGCGTAGTTGACCCAGAGCTCGTGGAAGCGGCCGACGGCTTTCTTTGGTGCAATTGCAGCAATCGCGTCTGCATAAGTTTGCACCACCATCTGCTTGTTATCGCCCCATAGAGCAACACGTTTCCGCCACTCATTGACATTGTGAGGATTTTGTCGCAAGAGCACGTCATTCACCAGGAAAGGCCGGCGGTCCATGAGTTGCTCAAAGCGCATCATGCGAATATCGAGATCAAGATCTGCGTCTTCATCCACCTTGCCTTTCTGTTGTCGCGCGGCAGATTCTTCGAGTTTGATTGAGATCAGGGCTTCCTCTGCTTCGGCGTAAGTGTCGAACACAACACTGAAATCTCGGACTGTCATGACGGTTGTGATGCCTTGCTCGAAGATGTCTCGCGCGCGTTCGTAATTGCCCAGGTTGATGTAGTATCTGGCCAGGCCTACCCAGAGGATGCCTCGCTGGTCCGGAAAGCGTTCAAGGCCTGATCTCACAATGGTCTCGACGTCGATTGCGCGACCATCTAGTAATGGTACGGGGTTCGGCACTTTTCGGGCATGATCGATCAAAATCTCCAGCATTTCGGTCCAATGCTGAAACGGACCTTTTGCTTCCCTGCTCTTGAATTTCGAATTGTTCAGGATCTCAATATAGCGCTGCACGGCCTCTGTGTAGCGGCCTTCCCGTTCCAACAGCTCTATGAAGTCCTCGATGTACTCGGGATGCAGCTGGATATATCTCCTCCACACCCTGACCGCCGTCTCTCCACCTGCGCTGGTCGCAAAGGGTCTATAGAGCTTCCATATGCGACCATGCTGTGTCACGGGCAGCGCTCGTAGTGCACGATCGAAGGTCCGTCTGGTGAAGCTGATGAGCGGCTGTAACATGAGAAACTCCAGATACATCTCCCAAATGCGCGGCATTTTGTTGAGCAGCACCAAGGCTCTCTCGAACAGGGCATTGACTTTCTGGTATTCCGCCTTCCATTTGGCCGGATTCCTGCCCTTCAAATGGGTTGCGCGCAGCTCCAAATACATCTTCCACAATTTGTAGCTTCGGGGCAGCGCATTGCAGGCGCGCTCGAGCACGAATGATTGCTCGAGCAACGTGCCATGTTGCCGCTTGAAGTGTGCATAGTCCAGCCAAGCCCTCACGTTGCCAGCGCTGCGCAAAATATCGTTCTCGTAGATCTCGTCATTGTGCGAGATGAGGTAGAGCATGGATTGTTGCTGCGGCGGTGCAGTCTTCGTGGTCGCGGCGAGGTTTGCCATAGTGAGGAACTCGTTGGGGCCGCCAGACTTGCGGCGTGTTGGCAAGCCGAGGGATGAGAAACTAAGGCTCTTGATCATGGCAAGAACGAGCCCGGCGAACTTCTCAAGGGCACGCGCTATGCGCGCGATGCCAGGCGGCAACTGCCGGCACGAAAATGAAGCCTGAGATTTAAGGTTGGCTTTCTTTCGTTGATCCGCTCCGCCATGCTCCACTTTGCCCTCAAGCTTCCCGGGAGCTGGGGCTTGCATCTCCCTCATTGACACCACCAGGCCACTTCACTTGCCCTCGCTTTCACATGCGGAACCAATCGTACTCAACATACCGTCTGACCTTCGGCATCACAACATCTCCCTTTCATCGTAATTGCACCTACGACATCTTTCCAACATGTCGGGCCAGGTGCGCATAGCTTCTGCTACCAGACGTCACGATCGCAGCTGACAATGCTATCGCTTATAGGACAGAGAAGCCGTCTTCCCGACCCGTCAGTCTCTTGCGCAGATGAAGTCAAAGCTGAAAGGCGCCCAAATCGGCCACGATCTGCTCAAGCGCAAGTCCGAAGCCCTCACCAAGCGATTTCGAGAAATTACACGCCGAATCGATGAAGCGAAACGAAAGATGGGTCGCGTGATGCAGATAGCAGCATTCTCGCTGGCCGAAGTCACGTATGCCGTTGGAAATACTGGATTTGCATATCAGATTGTAGAGTCAGCGCGGCAAGCCAAGTTCCGCGTGCGAACAAAGCAGGAGAATGTGTCTGGTGTATTTCTGCCAACCTTTGAAAGTTTTCAGCAAGAAGGTGTCAGCGAATACGCAATGACTGGTCTTGGAAAGGGTGGTCAGCAGGTACAAAAGTGCCGAGAGACATATACACGCGCAGTCGAGACGCTGGTCGAGCTTGCATCGTTGCAGACTGCGTTCGTAATTCTGGACGAGGTCATAAAGATTGTGAACCGGAGAGTGAACGCCATGTACGTTGACATCGTAATCCATCCTATACCCATGCTGACCTTGACTCAGTGAACACGTCATCATACCACGGACCGAGAGAACGATCAAATACATCAATTCAGAGCTGGATGAGATGGATCGAGAAGAATTCTTCAGATTGAAGAAGGTAAAAGGTTTGAAGGAGAGGGCGCAAGCCAAGGAAGAGGAAGAACGAAAAAAGAAGCGGAGGGACAGCGACAAAGAGAACGACACTCAAGGCCAGGACCAAAGTGCAACCAAGAACGTGCTGGGAGACGAAGCTGACGAGGATCTCATATTCTAGACAGCAGACCGAGATGTCGAGCTACGAAGCGGATACCACAGTCAGGTAATATCAAGAACGAAATGAAGCCTTGTATTGATGTATTGTAGTGCAGCGTGAATGCAAAATCTTTCAAATGTGTCTGCGGCCTTACGCTTCAATGTGCCACTGCTCGCAACCTGCGTTAGCCAATTGGCATACTCGGTGCATCATGGTGTCAGCTGCATAAGCTTGGCGGTAATGACGACCTTGATCGGAAGAACATCGAGCTGTACCAAAGGAGAGCAATCAATCCCAGACGCCAAGGTAGCACACCCGGAACATCGCAACCAAGAAGCACTGTGGAGGCTGATAGTGAGCACTTGCATAGCTCGGGAATACAAGGATCACAACCGCTGTTCTGAACAAAATTTCCTCAAGTACATTCGCCGTTGGTGTTGAGTGTTGACTGGGAAGTGTCTGAAACCACTATCTAATGCAAGGCAGATCCAGAGACTGCAGGAAATCTTGCTAGATCATGCCCTTAATGTCCCCCCGGGAAGTTGTCGTGATTACCAGACAGGGATTATCGCAACAAGGGTTCCCAGCAACGGAGACATCTCGTAACCATACGAGCTGATGAAGCTATTACTTGCACTTCACGTATAATCGCACCGGCGTCTGCGATGGATTGACATGTTCACTATCGCGACATCAACAACAATATGGACACCCCAACGGAGCTCAACTCCAGCGGCGAGCCACTTCAGCTCAACGCGCCGAATGCCGCTATTCACCACATTCTCGCCCAGCTTACGGAGGCAAAAGCACCGAGTCTGGGACTCTATGCTGCAGTCGTGATCACCGTCTTGCTCGGTGCGCAGGTCTTGCAGTACATTATCGCAAGACTGAGACGACCGAAGCTGCCAACTATCAATAAATTCCCATGGGATCCATTCGGTGATAAGGCCAAGACGCAATACCTATCTCATGCGAAGAAGCTGATACAGGATGGCTTTAAGAAATTTGGGGAAAGGCCATTTTATTTGAGAATGGAGGTTGATAAGACAGTCTTACTTCCACCGCAGTATATTGAAGCTGTCAATAAGGAAGATGGACTCAGCTTCATCGCGTTCACGACAACTGTAAGCAGAGCCCATCTTTCCCTATGAGAACACTCAGCAAAGGTGCAATCACTAGAAGTGCGGCTCCATGCCGGATGCCAGTATCGGGTCCCAAGCATAATGTTGAACTTCTGATACGGCTTCCACTCTACCTTTACTGTATGCGAGGCTAACGCAGGTGATACAGCATTTTCTGAGCCACTTCGAAACCTTTAAAGGCTTAGATGGTACTACTTCTATGCCCGGCCACTTCGAGGAGGCAATCATGAAGGGCCTCACTCGCAGTCTCCCACGATTTACCATTCCAATCTCCAGAGAGATGACTGGCGCCCTGAACGATACTTGGGGCAATAATAAGGAGTGGCACGAAGTATGGCTTCGTGGGGATGTCCTCAAATGGGTCGCTCGATTGTCTGCGCGCATCTTTGTAGGCGATCCACTCGCTAGTGACGAGACATGGCTTCGGATCTCTCGAGAGTATACCAGCAATCTGTTCGGTGCTGTCGATAAAGTCAAGTCATATCCTCGCCCTCTCTGGTGGATTGTTGAAAGGTTCCATCCGCTCGCTCGGCAAACTCGTGAGGATCGGAGACAGGCAAAGCAGCTCATGGAGCCTTACATTGCAGCAAGGAATGAGGAAATTGCCCGTGCAGCGAAGGAGGGAAGGAAGCCTGATGTCCCGGACGACAGCATCGAGTGGTTTCGCACCTCCGCCAAAGGACGACCGTATAAAGACGTTGATATTCAGCTGTCACTGACCAACGCAGCGATTCACACGACATCCGACCTACTCGGCCAATCTATCCTCAACCTCTGCAAGTACCCTGATGTGATTCCACATCTTCGCGAGGAGGTTATCCAAGTGCTGCAGAAGTACGGTTGGCAGAAAGTAGCTCTAACCGAAGTTCGCCTCCTCGATTCCTTCTTGAAGGAAACCCAGCGCTTCAAGCCGGTTGGAATGGTATTCATGGCGCGCAAAGCAACCAGAAACGTTTCTCTCCCCGGCGGACTCAACCTCCCCAAAGGCACAGACACTGCGGTATCCTCGCACCAAATGTGGTCGCCTGACATCTGGGGCGATGACCACGATCAATTCAATGCCTGGAGATTCGTAGAGCGGCGCAAGCAGACACCATTTCAAAACAGCAGTCTCCTCGTCAGTACTTGTCCCGAATTCACGGCTTTCGGGCACGGCAAGCATGCTTGTCCCGGAAGATTCTTCGCGGCGAATGAAGTCAAGATTGCGATGATGCATTTGATCGTCAAGTATGACTTCAAGTTCGAGGATCCGAAAGATGCGGACTGGCTGGAGTTTGGGGTGACCATGCTTGCGAATCCTGCTGCCAAGATTTGGGTGAGGGCGAGGGAGCCTGAAATTGATCTTGATGCTGTTGGGGTTATGGGGGCGGAGGTGGAGGTGGAGGCATAAGTCAACGTTTGTATGACCATCGGTTCATGCAATACGAGATGTATCTCAACACGTAGCGAGCAAATATTTGCCTGTCTGAGAATCGATCAAGCAAGCGCGAAACAGGCGCCGAGATAGCCTCATGTCGGTGTAACGCTCGCTCGCTCGCTTGCCACCCCTGCAGTTGTCGGCGCCAAGCTTTCGACCAGGATTCCCAGCTGCCATGTGAAGATCGCAGGCCACTGCACCTCATATTTAATTATCGTTGCCGTCGCCGCCGCCACATCCATTTACTTTGCCAACTCTTCAACTCGACGACACGTCCACTCTTTGCAACGCTCTCTCACGCAGAAGGGAGAAGCACATCATATCATCATGGCTTCCAACGCAGCGCCCAAGCTGGACTCAGCCAAGCTGAAAGCCTTCGAGCACGCCGCTGCAGGCCACGATGGAGTCTTGTCCGACGAGTCCGGCGAACTGATCATCAAACCATGCACCCAAGCCGAGATCGCATTCTACCAAGAAAGCCTACAACACCATCCGAAATTCTACGAATTAATGCCAACATTCATGGGCACGCTCTCGCTCGGCGCACCCGCCACCATTCCAGCCGTCACAGCCGCATCCGACGAAGCACTCACGCAAGACCAAAAAGACCAAAACCTCCTCCACGGCCAGAAAATCGCCTCCGAGACCGCCATCGTGCTCGAGAACCTCGAACACGGCTTCAAACGTGCCAACGTCATGGATCTCAAGCTTGGCGCCGTGCTGTACGATCCGGAGCAGACGAAAGCCGAGAAAGCTTCGCGGCTCGACAAAGTGGCGGCGGAAACGACGAGTGGATCTCTAAACTTCCGAATCGCGGGCATGAAAGTGTGGAATGGAAATTCTTTTGACATTTACGATAAATTCTACGGGCGGAAGTTCAATGCGGAGAATGTGAAGGATGGGTTTGCGACTTTTTTCAGTAGTCTTGGCGCCGGCGCCGTCAGGAAAGAGGATGCGAGGGAACTTCTTGAGACGATTTTGGCGGAGATTACGAAGGCGAGACACAGTCTGGAGAGATCGGAGTCCAGGATGTATAGTGCGAGTATCCTGATCGTGTATGAGGGTGATGCTGATGCGTTGGATACGCTGATGGGTGGCGATCCGAAAACTCCGAGGGTGGATGAGCGCGCGCCGACGACTTTCGAAGTCAAGAAATCTCAGGAGGAAGAAGAGGAGGAGGAGGAGTCCCTGCCTACGACGCATGCGGTCAAAATGATTGATTTCGCGCACGCTGCTTGGACGCCCGGTAAAGGTCCTGATACGAATGTTATTACTGGATTGAAGAACATCGAGGATCAGATGGATATGCTCATAGCGAGATTCGACTAGTGGTCAGCTCGTACGGATATCAAAGACCTCTCTGGCGTGCCGCGATCGAAGAGCTCAAAATCGCGAAGTGGAGGGAGGCAGATAAGATCATGATCCTGAGTTCGAAATCGCGCTCGCTTCAGGATATCGGCGTGGCAATATTTTTTGACTGCGCAACACAAACCCATGGCCCCTAGAGATACCCCAGAGCCTAGAGTAATACAGTAGCAGCCTAGAATTCCAACCAGATGCAAAAAATCCTTGGCAACATCTACCTCTCGATCCCAAACTCCTTGAATATCGCCTCACTATGCTGCCCAACCCTCGGAACAGCATCCATCCTCACCTCGCATCCATCCGGAGCACCCGCCGGTTTCAAAGTCGGAATCATCCCATTCTCCGTCTCAACCTCCACCCACCTCTCCCTAGCCTCAAGTTGCGGATGCTCCCAAACCCCCTCCAAATCCCTCAACCTCGAATTCGCAATCCCATTCTCCTGCAACTTCTCCAGCAAACTCTCCGTCTCCTCAGAAAAAAAAAAGAAACACAACCTCAATCACCTCTTTCAAAACCCTTCGATTCTGCGACCTCAAACTCGTATTCCGAAAACCTCTCATCCCGCAAAAGTATCCTCGTTCCTCAAAATGTTCTCGACAAAAAATTTTTTTTCCATTCCCTCTTATTCTGCATTCCTAACATGACAACTCCATCCTTACTTACATTGAAACGGACCATAAGGATAAATACTCGCATGTTCCGCGCCCCGCTAACGGGGGTGGGTTTGCACCATTATAGTGAAAACTCATCCATTCCGTCGTACATTCTAACATACTCTCACATCCAAACGACAACCTCCCCGACCACCGTTCTGAGAGCGTTGGAGTATCGCGGCGAGAATGTTTTGGAAGGCTGTTGTTGCCGCGGCGATGTCTGCGATGCTGATTCCGGATTTTGCCGGCTGACCGGGTGAAGCTGTGATGGATAAGAAGCCTGCTTCGGCTTGGATGAGGAGGTCGTAGGCTTTTTTGTTGCGGTAGGGGCCTGTACTTCCGTATCCGGAAATGTCGCAGACGATTAGAGAGGGGTGGGTTCCTTTGAGACTTTTGTAGTCGAGACCCATACGTTCTGTTGCGCCCGGGGCGAGGTTTTGGACGAGGATGTCTGCTTTTTTCGAGGATTGTTTTTAGGGCGGAGAGGTCGGAGGGTTGTTTTAGGTCGAGGGCCAGGCTCTCTTTGCTTCGGTTTGTCCAGACGAAGTGTGAGCAGAGGCCTTTTACTCGGGTGTCGTGGTATCTGTTGAAATCTCCGGCTCCGGGACGTTCGACTTTTATTACTCGCGCTCCTAGGTCTGCTAGTTGGCGGGTGCAGAAAGGTCCTGCGATGGCTTGTTCGAGGGACACGACGAGGGTTCCATCTAATGGCAGTTTTGCACTTCACGCCTGAAAATGTACTCCAGACAATCCTAGCTTCCACTTGACCCGGTATCCGAGCTGATGTACGCCCACCATGACCGACATCAACAACGACGATCTTTTCCGCCTTCCTAATCATGTCGCTGTTGTGACTGGGCCCGGCTCTGGGCGTGGCCGCAGGATGTCTCATGCTCTTGCATCCAAGAAAATCTACATTGTTGGGAGAAGGAAGCCTAGAGTTGCTAGATACCGGCAATCAGAAGCAAAATACGCCCGGTATTGGCAGCCAGGTCATCTTTCCTGCTAGCATTGTCGGTATAGATCCTAGCAAGTCATCGATGCTGAGTATTGGAGCGTGTACTGACACTGATCACAGGCGACATGACAGCCGGTCTGACCTGGGTGCCTGGATTCCATGTTGACACGATTCCAGCAGGGCGATTGGGTATGGAGGAGGATATACGTGTGCGGGAGCATATGTGAATGGTCTGATGCTTTCGTCGGAGTTTTGCCAACCGGAAGGCGCCAGTCAATTTTGATGGAGAACATTGATGAGGTCCTATCAATGATCGCCTTGGCCGGCGCTATATAGGCGAGGCGCATTACACTCCTACACTCAGCTGTCTCTTGTCACCACACTTCTTCCAGCCATCTCCTTCCCGAGGATACTCATGATGGCGGCAAAAGTCTATCCTCTGTGGATCGCTGGAGGAGAAGTGACCACTTCAGCAGACCTGTGCGTTCTAGCCAGAGATGCCATACCGTCAACATAGTTGACCTGAAGAAGCATACCCATTGAGAATCCCGCAAAGGGCGAGATCTTCGCGCAGTACGAGTGTCCATACTTGATGGCGATCCTGGATTGCTGCTGACCTCCCCAAGTTGCCATGCGGCTACTGATGCAGATGTCGAGACGGCCGTTCGGACCGCTCACGATGCCTTCAAAAGCGGCATTTGGTCGCGAGCAGACAGGCACCATCGAGCCGACGTCCTGGAAAGAATTGCACAGCTGCTCACCGCAAAACTTCCAGAGTTGATTGCTCTCGAAGTCGAGCAGACTGGACGTGCGATTCGGGAAATGAATGCACAAGTGCCTTCTCTGATCAAATGGTTCAAGTACTACGCTGCCTTGATAAGGACCGAGGAACGTCCAGTCCTGCCAACATCTGGCAAGCTTCATAACTGGATCGATAGAAGGCCACTTGGAGTTGTGGTGCAGATCACGCCTTTCAATCATCCACTCTTGATCGCTGTCAAAAAGATCGCACCTGCGCTTGCGGCGGGTAACTCAGTGATCCTCAAGCCTTCCGAACTGACTCCGCTGACTTCAATCCTGCTTGGACCGCTATTCGCTGAAGTGAGATATCACGACTGATGCTCCATTGAGAGCTGCTAATAATGCTTTGCTTAGGTCGGCCTGCCTCCCGGAGTATTCAATGTTCTGCCTGGCTATGGGGCTACCACTGGCAAGGCTTTAGTGTCACACCCTCTCGTGAAGAAGGTGGATGTTACAGGCGGCACACCGTCTGGTCGAGCGATCGGCGCGATCGCTGGTGCAAACCTGGCACATTTCACAGCAGAGCTAGGTGGCAAAGCGCCAGTCATTGTGACCAAGAATGCCGATATCGATCTTGCGGTCAACGGAGTCGCGTTTGGGTCGTTCATTGCAAGTGGTCAAACTTGCATCGCTGCCACTCGAATTATCGTGGAGAACAGTATCATGTCCGACTTTTTGCAGAAGTTGAGGATCAAATGCGAATCGATAGAGCGAAGGATGGGCTCTCCAACGAATGCTGCTTCAATGATGGGTCCCATGATATCTCGGAGACAGCTTGGCAACGTTATCGCCCTTGTCGACGAGGCAAAAGCAAATGGTATCACGATACTGGCTGGAGGCGCATTGCTTGAGGGTGTATCGCAGCTCGATGGCACCGATTTCAGCAAAGGCTACTTTTACCCTCCCACAGTCCTCATAGATTCAACATCGGCGAAAATCACCGAACAAAGGATTTGGCGTGACGAAGCGTTTGGGCCTGTGATCGTTGTAGTAGGCGCCAGTAGTGAGGATGAAGCTATTCGACTTGCCAATGACAGCGAATTTGGACTTGGTGCTGCGGTATGGACGAGCGACTTGTCTCAAGCCTATCGCATATCTGACCAAATCGAGTCTGGGATCTGCTGGAGTAGGTTCTTGTGGCCGTTGCCTGCGTAGATCATAAGCTAACCTTTCAGTCAATACACACCATCGCAATGACCCAAGCAGTCCCTGGGGAGGAATCGGCAGCTCGGGCGTCGGGAGCGAGAATGGCATCGGTGAGCAAAATGTGCATTTCACGCGTTTCTGCAATACTGAATGCCAAGCAGATGCGTACCACGCCTATACCACTACAAAAAGTACGATCATCAACTATGCGTCCACTGAAGAGAGCTTAGCCAATGATGACTGGTTTCGTGAAGGAGCAGCAACCGTCCGCTACGGATGACGAAGCTTACCAAGAGGCTCACTGCCTTTAATTCAAGGCCGTGAATACTCAACGTCATGAATATATTGCAACCTAAATCCATCGTCCGAATAGTCCAAGTCATCTGCACTGATCGCATTTATAGGTCTGAGCTGTTCGCCTTGACAAAGCCAGTCAAACAAAACCAGCAAGACATTGAAGATGTCTTTGCTGTGCCAAAGCTGCCAGAGTGCTACAATAGATGTTTCGGGTCCTATGCCACTGATCTAGGTGCTTCTAGGTCGCTGGCAGCCATCCATCCTGTCTACAAAATTTTCAGCACATGTTCTCTTGTTGGGAATTCTACAAAACGTAATGGCCGCAAATGACAAGACATCAATAAGACTCTAGAATATCGTTTGCGTGTAAAGATTGGCGCTGACGATCTATAGCGGTTTTTGCCAGCTACCTCCTGGTTGACCAAGCTGCACGATCACATAGAAGATGGCAAAAAGCGTAACGCGACAGACAACGCCATACCCAAACACATTCAATTCTGTCTCTCGCTCCATCGACCTGATCACCGCCCGCGTTCAAGAGAGAAGCTGCTTCTTTGAACCTGCAATCACAAGATTTTGTTTTGCAGTTAAACAACATGTCCCCGACCATTATGGCAACCTCTGCATATGGGAATTGAACCTTCCCTCAGGAATGAAGGTCTCGTAGCCGTTTGAATGGCGAAATATAGGTGAACGGACAAGGTGATGGACCAGGCACGTGAAGGACAACTCATTCACTTGGTGAACGCACGGACTTGTTGCCCTCGACAACACAGGACAACTTCACTCGCAAGATCATGGTATTTAACACGATAACTCTCGTCTTCATCTCCTTGTTCGATCTAGACACACCTCCCGAAACCAGCCGTGATGGGATCGAGATATGACCAGTACACAGCTCAAAAGCTGTTGACTCAGCGCGCAGTCGAGCGCACACCTCGTCGATCCGACAGTACCGAGCGATGGCTTCGCGAAAAGGCAGAGAAAGAGAAACGAGATCATGATCGGAGGGTCAAGGCAAGCACTCGAGTCGGCGGATCAAAATTTTATAATCCATGATTGACTGACCAGCATGACAGTACTACTTCGCGCCTCGACCAAATGGTGCATTCATCGAAGACTGGGAGCAGCCCACATTCGACGAAGGTCCTCATTCGCCTCCCATCCGCAATCGGTTACGACCACACTCACGAAGCCGCCGTACCCATCCCTCAGGCGCTTCTCTGAGAGTTGGTTTCGCTCAACAGCAATACGACGACTCCGACCCATTCAACGGCAATGGCTTCTCCAGCACTCGCGATCGGCCCCCAACTCCATATTTCATCGATGCTCAACACTCCCGCCCCTCGTCGCGCTCAACCAATGCTTTCTGGCCCAGTCCCGCTCTATCAGGCGACGCGTCTGTACCAGCTTGGTTCACCCATGGACGCACCAGACACGATTCTCCGGATCTGCCACGCGCCATGAGCTCGCGCTCGACATCTGGATCCTCAACACCATTCCCAGAGTTTGGCGCTCCTCCTCGACCCGTCGAAAATCGTCGGAACAGACACGACTCTCCACGCGCCATCTCACCCTCTCGCTCTCGCTCAACATCTCGATCCTCAACACCATTCCTGCCAAGCCCAGCTCTGTCCGACTCGGACACCAGCTACGACTCTCCAGATCTTCCAAGCCGCTCCGACTCGACACGTGGCTCGGAAAGGCGATCAACTCAGCCGGCCAGGACGATACCTGCCGATCTACTCCTCGCGCGTGGCAGAAGCCGCAGCCGCAGCCGCAGCCGAAGTCGTCATCGAGGTACGCGTCGCAACGCAGAAAACCGTGCCAGCACTCGCTACGACGCTCCTGATCAAAGTCGTAGTCGTGGTCAGAGCCGTCATCGTCATCGTCTCTACACCCAGGACGAAGCCATTCGTCGATCAGCAGACGAGCGTGATCGAAATTTTCGGGCAAATGGACAGCGCTGGGAGAGGAGGAATGCGGTTTCGTATCATTAGTCGTCGAATGATGGAGATGAGGAGGAGAGATGGCGTAGAATGAATATCGATAAGGTAGCATCAAACTGCCCTTTCTCAACAGCCTTACGTTATGCAAAGCTGTATACACGCAACGGCAAGCCGTAGTAAGGTCGGGGCCTATCGTAGTTTCTCTGAAGCTGTGAAGGTGTTAGTAGACATTTCGTTCAAATCGACAAGCTTCTGAGCCTCGACTCCATTTACGTCTTCAGATATACTCTCCTAATATCGTTGCCGTCGGTATTGCTATGGCGCTTCACCACTCTGGGTCACAAGAAATGTAGAAAGGAAGAAATTCACATCGAAATCCTGTCCGTCGATTATCCGCAAAACACTCAAGCACAGAATGGATGCCACCGCTGAAACGCACAAGAGATAGCGCCGCAACCCACCCATATGCATCTTATTACACAAAGCCCGTAAAATCAGACGTGTCGCCTTCACATTATAGTCGTACAAACGCCGCCGCAATGTATAAACCAGATCATCTATTACCTCCTCCACTTTTACTCGTTATCCGGTCTCCTCCCCGCTGTTTCATCATCTATCAAGTCTTCTGTCCGGATGGCCGTCGAGGGACGTGCTGTATTCGGTTTATTGGAAGCGCCTTCGCCGGCGCTCTGCTCTGCCGCTGCTTCCTCCTTGGGCAGCTCAATGATGCTCCTGACTGATTCCGGGCTTGGCGCCTCACCAGGATGTTGTTGTTGGCGCGCATACAGATTCAATCGTTGCTGGGCTTCTCCTTCGCTAGAAGCTGTGCGCACTGCAACGTCGAGGCCGCTGCTTCCCGGTCGATCGCTGTCTTTGCCCTTCTTGCTATTTTGACGCACCACTTTCTTCGGTGATGCCTTCTTGTACTTCTCATTTCCGCCTATGCGGCCGATAGGTGTCTTCGGTGTCTGCCATCCTGCGGCAGCGGGTTGATCTCGCGTCTCGATTTTCGGTCTGCCGGTCTTGAGATGCTTGACATGGCCCGTGGAATCTGCCTCACTCTCCCTCCTAGAGGAATTGGCGTTCTGGCTCATATCTTTGATCTCCTTGAGCACTTCACGGAAGCCCTCTTCAAGAGTATGCATCCGAGCAAGCATGATGCGATTGACCATGCCCTTTTCTTCCTCCTCGCTGCGCCGGCGCTCCTCTTCTGCCATGCGACGAAGCTCTCGCTCGCGCATCATTTGCTCCGAGAATGAGGCAGGCATGCCAGAGATGCCGCCAGCGTCGATATTCGGTCTGTTGTCACCAATCTCGCTCGCAAGATCCAACGCTCGTGCATTGAACGACGTTTGGCGCGGGCGAGGCATATCAAGGAAAGCCATGCCGCCGATGCTGGTAAGATTCGGCCCAGTCTTTTCACGTGGTGGCATGATGGGTCGTGCTTTCGCTTGCTGAGTCGGCTTCCTGATAGGAGTCCGCGTACCAGGCTTGCCAGGCGCAAGCAAGTTCGGCGTGGGCGTTGTCGCACCGCTTGTCCTCTTGAAGCCAGTGGCTTGCTGAGGCTGCTGGTTTGAGACGGACGAGTCGTAGTCAACTTGTGGCGCGAAGAGAATGGTTCCACTCGATGCTTGTCGATCATGATGGCATCTCTCTACTGCCTTGAACTTGCTCGGCGAAGACGACTGAGGACCACGAGTCACTTCAGGCGAGTATCGCAGGCGGGCTTGGGCGGCATGAGACAGTTGCATTATAGGACTATTAGGCCCAGTCGGCGTCTGGAAATACTCTGCCTCGCTCTCGCTGTGCGGGGTCCGATTGGAGATGGATATGGCGCTCTCGCCCAAAGCTGGCCCACCTATATCCGACTCATCATTAATCTCATCGTCGCCATCCGCTTCGGTGTCGATAGGGAGGGTCTCAACGCTCGCTTTTGGGTCTTCGGATTCTTCGACTATTCTGTAAGGTCTCTTATGCGCAGACATAAAGTCGGGATCACTGGCGATGCTTCGAGTGGCCGTGGAGAAATCTCTCGATTGTTTGGCAAATCCTCTTCGTCGATCTGCAGTATTGGCACGCTTGAATTTCGGTCGGCGATGCTCAAGCCGCTCAAGAACGCTTCTGGGCTGCTCATCGGGCGGGCTAGCACCTCCCTCATGATCAGCTTCAGCCATCCACCGGTCCACAGCAGTGACTGAGTTACGCCCTTCAATCGCCATCTCTCGAGTAGTCGTGCGTACGGTATCGCCTCTGAAAGGTCGCCGGAACACTTCTTCTAAGGCTCGGTCTTTCCGAAAGCTGATGACGGATGGCTCTCGAAGCCGGTGTGCTGGCGTATACGGCTCTGATGGCTTGTGTCCGCTCAAAGCCGCTGGGGTCTTGCGAGACGACTGCCTTTCAATCAGATCGAGAGGTGCATACGCGGTCCGTGACATGATGGTGCGCTCGTAGGAGAAAATGACGAACAGGATGGGGAAGTGGCTTCCCTTGATGATTGTGCGGTTGAGCTTCACGAATTGTCGGAGTGGTATGATGTATCGCAGCGGGCTGAGAAACCAGCCGAACACGTTCGAGGGCGGGATATAGCTGAACAATGCATCAGACTTGACCATGGAGATGGTGTTGACGGCAAACAGAAACTGATGCTCCTCTTCCGCATTCTTGACAATTGCCATGAAGCTATTAGTCATGACAGTGATCAAGATGGTGACGACGAGGAAGTGACAGATGGTCAAGAAAACGACCATAATCGCGCGACCGAGCACATTGTACGAAGCCCAGTGATCCCACACAGCCGGAGTGAAGCCCATCAAGATTTGGAACAGGGAGTACACGACGCCACTCGCGTCGCGCGTCTCGGCAAACGACAAGGCAAGAGCGACGAAGAAGCCGGAGCAGCAAATCACGATCAGCACCAGGATGGCCATCAGATCCTGCATCATCATGCGGAAGGCGATGAGCAGCTGCGAGAAATAGCGATAGTGGTCGAGGACACTGAAGAGGCGTGGGAACAGGAGAATTGCGTTCGCAGCCAGTACGTCGTATGCAATGCCGGCAATCCTGTGCTTGCCCGACTCTGCCAGCACAACTCCGTAGAGGCGAAGGCAGTAGTAGACGACGAAGAAGAAGAGGATGCCGAGATCGAAGGCGTTCCAGAAGCTTAGAAGGTACAAGCCGAAGCCTTGTTCGGTGAATCCGACCACTTCATCCAGCATGTAGCCGATGCTCCAGAACCACAGGACCACTTCCAATGGCGTGATGTTCAAGCTTCTGTCGACCAAGACAGCAATGAATAGGCCAAGCATGATGGCAAAGCTCAGAGTGCTGAAGATCTGCCTGTATCGAGGCACACGTAGACGGCTGAGCTTGAAAAGCGATGCATCCTTGGGATTGTACAGTGTCACGGTCCGACGTGATACTGGTGTCTCCGAGCGCCTACTTGGCAGCTTGCTAGCGTGGCCTTTGCGAGAGAGAACATTATCCGCTGGCAGGTCGCTCGCCGTTGTCGTAGTCCCGTATCCCGCTGCACGCCCTCGTCGCTCTTCTTCAGACTGGCGATGTTTCCTGTGGAGATTGTCGGCTTCGGAGTGGAAGACAATGTTGCCGGCCCAGATAGCTTCGAGATGCTGCACGACCAAAGAGTGTGCGAGGAAGCGCTTTGCTTCTGCTCGAATAGCAATCTCAATAGTGCTCACTCTCGCGAACCTACTTTGAGCTCTCGCATTGCGAACGGCTTGTCCTGGCGCAGCTGTCGCCGGATCGACCATGCCCTGTAGAGGATCGAAGTCGTATGAAAGCGAATCGATCAATTCTCGGGTGGAGAATTCTCTCAGCAGACGCATTGCCAAAAGCTCGCTGACAAGTGCCCTCGTTCTCGACACGCCCACATTGCCGGGATTCATCTGACCCTCTTTCTGAAACTGCAGGCAATTCGCGAGCAGCGCACATAGTGTAGCTCTGTTGAAATGATCCGCTCGGATTGAGCCTTGTATGGGCTTGACGAGGAATTGACTGACCTGCGGACTACGCAGCTGGTCCCAAGACAACGTCGTCTCGCATTTTTGCACAATCAGCAATCTGATTGCATGTGTTATGTTGTACAGAGGCAGCCTGTCGAGATGTGCTGCCGAGAAGATAGGTAGCAGTGGCGTTTCTACCGCGTCTTCGTCCTCTTCTCCGTCTCCATCGTCAATGTCATCGTACTCGCCGCCGCCGCCGTTTCCATCGAAGTAATCGCCATTTGCGTGATGGCGGGGGGAATATTCGTCGTCGTCGTCTTCGTCTTCGTCGAAAGCGTCATCGATCTCGGCGTGCTGGGCGACTCGACGATATCGCGATCGTTCTGGGGGTGAAGCGAAGGCCGACCAGCCCTGGTTCTGGTTCTGGTTATTGCTGCGGGCGTCGGTGCTCTTTTCGCGTCGCCCTCTGCTGATGGATCGAAAGAGTCGCAGCATTGGACTGACCGACAGCTGCACGGCGTCTGCGCTATCCAATGACGCCCGCTGAGACACGTCTCTCCACTCACGACCGTGGCAGTCTGTCTCGAATAATAATGGGAGCAAGGTCGACGAGGCTCCAGTGTTTATATGTCCGCCGCGATGTAAACAAACCGCAAACCCAAATGTCGAGAACAAACAGACGTTGTGGTGGTGGAAAACACTTCTTCACAACATCGCCTCCCACAACGCCTCTGCTCCCGTGCAACGCTTATCAGCCTGCTTCTGAGCCGTAGAAGACGACACGTGAATTGGTATCGCTGCACGCAATCGGCGGCAGTGAATGCACACTGTCGCGATTCTGCTCCCCATTCAACCAATGGCGGCAAGCTTTGACGCACGGGGAAAGGTAATTCACCTCACGAGCTCCTCAGACTCACGTTCATCACGGCGGTGAGCAGGCAGTGCGTACATGACCGTGTCTGCTTGCATCCCCTTATCATCATTCGCCACGAGCTCACCTGCACATCAAGAACTACTGCATGCAGGTTGTCGACAAATGATGGAATGGTGACGGTCTCAACTGTACGCTGTACACCCTCAAGATACTCCCAGCCGCGCTAGAAGCATAAGCGACGGCGGAGGGAGATCTAATGCGTGGGGGACATCTCTCCTGCATGTGCATCTACAAGGTACTGCCCTATCTGGGAGCTACAACCCGGACACGCGAAAGAGAACTTGTATGTGCAATATCAATTGACCGTTTGGAGCCGCTCGATCCTGACAACAGTGGCCAGACCGAAGCTTTCGTTCTACAACAGTCTGACCTTGTCACCAGGCACTGGAATTGGATACCGGGGAAGCAGAAGCAGAAAACTGGAGCTGGAAAGAGAAAATCTCGCATCTGCAAATCACGACAGCTGCTGTACACCACGGAACAACGGGTATTCTACCGGAGCAAGCTCCAGCCTCATTTTCGAGCAACACAAGCTACAATCGGGACAGCTCGCAAGCAGGGCAAAAGCCAATCACGAATTCCACTTCGAAGCCGAGTCAGGCCTGCAGGAGAAGAAGAAAAATGCCAAAGCCAAAACGCAACATTCAAGCTGTGGCAGAAGAAACCTTGACACCGCCAGATGACCTGCCGCAAGGCCAGAAAATCGCTCGTGTTAAGAGTGCGGCCGGGAACAATTTGTACAATCTAGAGCTACCGGCTGATCACGAGGTCGAGGTATTAATTCCCATCTTAGCCGAGCTTCCTTCGAAGTTCCGATCTACGATTTGGATCAAGCGAGGGAATTATGTTGTTGTAGACACGACTGCCCTAGCTGATCGTGGCAATAAGCTGGGAGGTGAGATCGTCAACATCGTGAGAGATGAGAAGAGGTGGAGGAAGATGACATATTGGCCTAAGGCGTTTGAGAAGAATAAGCAGGAGGTGTATGGTGGAGAAAGTGACGAGGAAGAAGATCAAGGGCCGAAAATGCCGACTGACGACGAAGATGAAGACTGAGATTTGCATTGCTATTCTGCATGCTCATGCTTTACATGCCCGTTCTGCTTTTGCGCCTTTCCGTCCTTGCGACAATCAGAACTGGAGCCCGTGCCCAGCCAGGTCGCAACAACGGTCAATGCAAGACAGCCGACCACAATCATCGAACTTTGGTTTGTGCTCGGGTACACATTCCAGCCATACTCTTGTGCAGCGCATATGATGTATATCAGCACCGGATGCACGCCACTCCTCCACAGCAGATATGGTGTCGACCAAGCGATGTAGACGAAGAATTGGTAATGCAGGCTGCGAGCACACAAGCACCCAATCATCACAGCGGACAGGATAGAAGTCAAAATGAAGTCCGGCGTGACCCTCCTCGAGATCCTGGCTTGATGTTCCTTCGATGGTGGTTTCGCGAGAGCTCCAATGGCTTCTGGCAAACTCCAGTTGGACGGACGGAGCCAACGAGTCGTGATGAACGTGTACAGCAAGAAGAAATGTCCAGCCAGTAGTCCGTACGAGAATCCTTTCGAATAGAACCTCTCCTCACCCACGAATCTCCAATTCACAGTCCACTTGTATAGGAAGACCCTAGAGAACTCGAACGCTCGAGAGAAATAGTCCTTGGCGGAAGTATTCCCTCCAGTCAACGCTCCAGCAATGAACGGAAAAGCAAGCAAAATCTACAGAATCATCAGCACCATCCAAAATCTCAAACATTCCACACAACCTCACTCACCTGTACCACCAAAATCACCTGCCCCTGCCAAATCGCCCTATCCCTCCCAACTCCCAACCAAAGCACAACCCCCACCGCCGGCAAAGCCAACACCAAACTCATCTTGACCCCAACACCCAAACTATACACCACCGCCCCAACCCCCCACCACTTTTTCTGCAACGCATAAACCCCCGCAAACAAAAACATCCCCGCAAAACAATCATTAAACATCCTCAGCATAAAAATACTATGAACCCTCCGACTCAAACTTAGTAACGGGAATATATAAGGTGGTACGCCAGCTTGTCGATATGTTTGGATTACGATGTATAGAGTAAACAAGTAGAGGGCTGCGAAGAGGGTTTGTGCGAGGAAGATGTTTTCGCCGGAAGATGTGAGGTTGTGGAGGGTGGTGTAGATGTAGATGTGGGCGGCTGGGTAGACGAGAGGACCTGTGTCGCCGGAGATTTTGGAATAGGTTCTTTCGCCACGGAGGTAGAGGGTTATTTGTTGCATGTAGGTTTTCCAGTCAATTTCTGTGTCTGGTGATATCCCTTTTGTTAGGAGCTGAGGGAGGTGGGAGATGTGTGTGTTGGTGGAGGGATTTTGTGCTTACAAGGAACCGTGGAGATGATGAGGGCGCATAATGCTGCGTCGCCGAGGATTTGGAGAGGTGCGAGCCATCTTGTGTGCTTGGGATTTGTGAGTATGTCCCAGCTTTGATTAAGGAGGTTCATTTTTGGCGATGGCGTGGTGTTCGTCCTTCCTTCACCAGGAGAAATGTTGCATATTGAAACGAAGCCCTTTGGATCGGAGGTCGGGCCGACAAACCAGGGATTGGAAAGCTTATTTTTGGACCTAGATATTGTTGTGGATTAGTTAGCACTGCCAAGTGCTAAGGCCTAATTTCCTAGCGATATATATAGCCTCTAGCTTAGATAGAAACTTAATTCCTTTCCTTATATAATTCTATAGTTAATTAATTAATAACTTATTCTACTTAGCTTAATTATAATAGGTTATAAGTATAAGAGAATACCCTTCTATACCGCCGAGACCCTTACTAGGCATCTACAAGGTACCCTAGAGGTGCCTCGCCGGTAACCCCGAGTTACCTAACTCTTAGTACTATAGGATAAGGCGCCTATTCCTACCTCGAGAATCGCTTATTCCTTAAGCGATATCGTTAAATACTAAGACTACTATTTACTCGTATTAATACTCCCTATATACTACTTCCTTATAGAATATCGCCTCTAAATCCTCCTTAGGAGTATAGCCGTACTAAGTACGACCTCTAAGTAGTAGTATCTACGTCGTCGGTACCTACTAGGCTCCTTCGAAGTACCTCTAAGCTACCCGAAAGCATCTCTAACTAGCGTACCTACTCCTAACGTAGTACTACCTACTTATTAGTACTATGCCTCCTAAAGGAAGCGGTAGGGCTACCGGCGGAACCGGTATATCGTTATCTAAGGGAAAAGGTTCTAATATAAACCCTTTAGTAGAAGAATAAACATTCTCTACTAGACCTAGAGACTAACTTTAGGACGATAACGAAGAAGATAACGATACTACTCCGGACGATACTATAAGTACCTTAAAGGGACCTCGTAGCTCCCGTATAAGTAGCTATACGGAATCCGGTCCTAAAGAAGAGGATTAGGACCTAAACCCTTAGGCTAATACCTAGTAGACGGTAAAGAATAATATTAATCGAGTTTCTCGACTTATTAATGCCCTCGATGCCTTACTACTAGAGGAATTAGAAGGCTAAGCCTTCGACGCTTACGTTTAGAAGCGTAAAACCCTTATAGATCTCCTTACCTCCTTTAAGAGTAAGATTGCTATTAAAAGGAAGAGGGTAGAGACCGTCGACGAGACCGCAAGTCCTACCGGCGCCTCGTAGGTACCTCTAGGGCCTCTAAGAGACCCCTTAATTAAGCTCTTTAAGAAAGATCCTCCCGAGCTTCTTACTATAAATAACTAAGCTTTTCTTAAGTAGGCCTAAGTATACGAGGCCCGCTTCTTCTATATAAATTGTACCGATCGAGACGGTACTAGACGCACTCTATAAGCGACTAGTAAGGTTAAACTAGTAGAGATTACTACTGCCGTTAAACGGCGTATCTAATCGTATATAGATAACTATACTAAGTTTAGATAGTCCGAGTATAAAGAACTTATTAAAGACACTATTAGGCCTCTAGCTATATAGCAAGCCGAGAATGCTATATCCTACTAGGGTGCTATATACTACGCTAATTAACTAGTAATAAAGTTCTACGCCTATATAAAGAAGGTCGAAAGCTAAATCGAGCATAGTTTTCCTAAAGATAGATCGTATAAAACTGCACGTATCGACTTCTATTATACTAAGCTTCTAAAGGATATCTAAGTAGAGATTATCCGCATTAATAAGCTAATTTCGTTTTAGACCGTTAATAATCTCTTTAACGAGGTATACCGCATCGAAGACTCGGAGTCTATAAAGAAGAAAGATGCCGCTAAGAATACTCGCAATTCCGGCGGATCTTCTAAGCAAGCATCTAGTTCTAGAACCGATACCCCTCCTAGTACCTTGTAGGCACCTCTAAGGGGCCCTAGGGGTAGAGGTAGCGGTCGGGGTTAGTTTAGAAACCGTAGCCGAGGCTAAGCCTAGGGCGGATTAGCAAACCTAACCTCTAATTCCTCCGCCGGAGATAGCTAAGCCTCTACCGGTTCGGAAAATACGAAGCCCTAGTCGCTTCCCTTTCCTTGCTACGACTAGGGCCTAATACTAGAGGAAGAGAACGACGTATTATTATCGACGTTAAGGTGCCTTATAAGGGCCTTACGCGTACCCTTAAGGCACTAATCGATTATAGTGCCTAAATTAACCTTATCTCTTAGTATATAGCGAAAGTCCTAGACCTAGTACCGCTAGATCTAGTCCCTCCGAAAGTTACTTTCCTCGATAATAATTATATAACGATCTATAAGGCTTACTCCCTCTCTCCGATAGTAAAGGATAAGACGGGTACCGAGCGTACTATCCCTTAAACCTTTTAGGCTAGGACCTTTATAGGATACGATATAGTTTTAGGATAGGACTAGCTCGCCGATACTAATCCTCTTATCTCTTTCCGAAAGGGAACCTTTATCTAGAACCCGATTACCGGAGACCTAGAGGACTACTTTAAGGCGCCTAACAAGCCCCTCGGAGACTCCTATAAGGTCCTTACGAATAATCCTATCCGTCGTATTCTTATAGTAATCGTTAACGGATCGGCTACCTTCTAGCTTAAAGATAGCCGGTATATTATTAGACCCGAAACTACTAACAAAGAACTACTAGGTAACAATCCTAACGTCGCTAGTACCTCGGAGGTACCTCTAGACTACCTCTATACCCCGGTAGTAGAGGCTCTTATAACCCTCTCCGCCTAAGGAGGAGGTAACCGCGATCCTGCTACTATCGATTGCAGTTAACAAGATCGTTAGTAGATCGGGGCACTTGTTGCTTATTCTAGGTTTAAAACCCTTTACGACCCTTACTCTAGATTAGCTTCGCTTCCCGGCTCTATCTGTTGGTATACTATTATCGCTACTACCGAAGTTTATTAAGAAGTACCCGAAGTATTTAAAGACTACGTTAATATCTTTAATACCGACCTTGCTAGTATTATTCCTTAGTATTCTTAGTACGACTATGCTATTAAACTAGAAGTAGGTAAAGTTCCTTTATAACTTCCTATTTATAACCTCTCGTAGAACGAATTAAAGACACTCCGCGAATACATCGATTAGGCTCTAGCTAAAGGCTAGATCCGGCCTAGCAAGTCCCTATACAGTGTACCTATCCTCTTTGTCCCTAAGAAGGATAGTAGTGTTCGTCTATATATTAACTATCGTAGCCTTAATAAGATTACTATTAAGGACCGCTATCTGTTACTACTTATTAGTAAGCTTCTCGATCGGCTTAGTAAGGCTAAGATCTTCTCTAAATTGGACCTTAAAGATACCTATTATCGTCTTCGTATTCGCGAAGGAGATAAATAGAAGACGGCTTTTAAGACTCGTTATAGACTATTCGAGTATCTCGTTATACCGTTTAGCCTAGCTAATACCCCTACTACTTTCTAATTATATATTAATTAAGCCCTTATAGGACTAGTTAATCGCATCTACGTAGTCTACTTAGACGATATCTTAATCTATTCTAAGAACCCTAAAGAGTATAATAAGTATATCCGGATAGTCCTTAAAAGACTACGTTAATAGAAGCTATATACTAAGCCTTCTAAGTGCGAATTCTATACTAAGTATATAGAATTCTTAGGGTTTATTGTTACTCTAGAGGGTATCGTTATAGATAAAAAGCGGGTAAAGGCTATCTAAGATTAGCCTATACCTCGTAGTTATAGAGACGTTTAAGTCTTCTTAGGTTTCGCTAACTTCTATCGACGTTTTATATAGGGATATTTACGTATCGCCCGCCTATTAAATAAGTTGTTAGCTAGCGGGAAGTTAGAAGAGAAAGGGAAGAGGAAGAAGAAGGTTGTTAGAGGGCTATAGTAATAGACAGAAGATGCCGAAGAATCGTTTCGTACTTTAAAGCAGGCCTTCTAAGAAGCTCCTATCTTGCGATACTTCGACCCTACTTTACCGATTATAGTTATTACTAATGCCTTAGATACGGCCTATACTAGTATCCTCCTCTAACTAGGTACCTCGGAGGTACCTTATTAGTACTACTAGTACCCTATTGCCTACTACTCTAAGAGTTTTGTAGGCGCGTAGATCCGTTATAGTATACTAGATAAAGAATTAATAGCGATTTCCGAATGCTTTAAAGTCTAGCGATACTACCTTAAAGGAGTAGCGCATCCGATTAGAGTTATAACGGACTATTATAACCTAAAGTACTTTATAACGACTTAGGAGCTTAATAGCCGTTAAGCCCGTATTACTAAACGCCTTACTACTTATAACTTTACGATCGAGTATAAGAAGGGAATATCTAATCTATCGGACGGTCTCTCCCGCCGTCCTAACTACTTCGATAGGTTTAAGGATAATACTAAACGCAGAGAGCTAAGGGACCTCTTACCTAGCCTTAAGCGTTAGTTAGAAGTTACCCGGGACCCGCGGCCTACCGTAGAGGCACCTCGCGGGCCCCTCGCGACTATATCGGTAGAATAGTCCTCTCCTACGGACTCGCCCGAGGGTAGTTAAACAGATTATTTAACGATAGTAAGCCTCTGCCTCTAAGAAGAGAACGAGGACTTAGATAACTACGCTTTCGATAATGTCGTCGGACTATACCTTACTAGGGCAGGACCGACGGCTAGTACTAAGAACCGCAACCTCTTAATACCTCGCTGTCTTATTACTACGGTAGTAGATAGTAAAACGGCGTACGCTATCGAGCTACTAGCGTCCCTTATAGACCTTATTCGGGAAGCTTAGTAAAAGGACGCTTTTATAGAAGACATCCGAACTAGAGCTACGTAGGCGGCCGGAAGCGGTATAGATAAGGTACTAATAGAGCCCCTCCTAGGTACCTTAAAGGCACCTTAGCGCCCTTAGCTAGAAGGATACTAGGAATTCGATAATAATAACCTTCTTCGTTGCGACGGAAAAGTATATATTCCTAGCTTTATACCTCTTAAGTAAGAGATCCTTCGATAGAATTACGATAATCCTATCGCCGGGCACTATAGTACCGTACGAACTTAATATATTATCGCTGCTA